AAAGCGATGGACTCGTAATGCTGCTAGGCTCAAACACAGGGCGTTTCATGTGTGAAAGCGCTATTATTTACAGTGCACTTCACGTGTTTCAGGTTTTGTTGAGTTACAGCCTTTTCACAAAATTAGGATATTATGAGCATAACTAATTGTCTTGGGGAAGACTTCAAGTAAAGTGTTAATAACCTTTGTTTTTATTGTGAATCTCAAATACAGACACTGCTGGAAAGGGTTCAAATATGCAGAAGATGTTGGAAAAGCAAAGAATGCTGGAGAGAACTGGAGGACAAACAAGGGACTCATGAACAACTCTCACAAGGCGTGTTTCCATTACCCTTCAAATTGCGCACATTGAAATTGCGAATTGAAAATACGCCTAATGGAAACGCGTCAATTTCGCAAAAAATGCCTATATATCGCAAAAAAAGTTTTTACGCTCTCATGAGGTGGTTTTTCAGGCAATGCAAAAAGGATTAATTTGTAAAACTGCAATGGAAACGTTTTGTTTCGCATTGACAGGTCACATGGCGTATGTAAAAAGTTATATGATCATTCTTCAGTGTACTATAACCTCCAAGAAATACGTGGCCGCTCTCCAGTATAAGGGGCTTTCCTACCATTAATGCTTAGACAATTTACACTGCACACGTCTGCGGAGCAGTGTGGCTCTGATACGGCCACTGAAGCTGATACGGCCACTCAATGCTTGTGTTTATGTTTTTATACAGGCTATGGTTTCACGTGTTTCAGGTTTTGTTGAGTTACAGCCTTTTCACAAAATTAGGATATTATGAGCATAACTAATTGTCTTGGGGAAGACTTCAAGTAAAGTGTTAATAACCTTTGTTTTTATTGTGAATCTCAAATACAGACACTGCTGGAAAGGGTTCAAATATGCAGAAGATGTTGGAAAAGCAAAGAATGCTGGAGAGAACTGGAGGACAAACAAGGGACTCATGAACAACTCTCACAAGGCGTGTTTCCATTACCCTTCAAATTGCGCACATTGAAATTGCGAATTGAAAATACGCCTAATGGAAACGCGTCAATTTCGCAAAAAATGCCTATATATCGCAAAAAAAGTTTTTACGCTCTCATGAGGTGGTTTTTCAGGCAATGCAAAAAGGATTAATTCGCAAAACTGCAATGGAAACGTTTTGTTTCGCATTGACAGGTCACATGGCGTATGTAAAAAGTCATATGATCATTCTTCAGTGTACTATAACCTCCAAGAAATACGTGGCCGCTCTCCAGTATAAGGGGCTTTCCTACCATTAATGCTTAGACAGTTTCCACTGCACACGTCTGCGGTGCAGTGTGGCTCTGATACGGCCACTGAAGCTGATACGGCCACTCAATGCTTGTGTTTATGTTTTTATACAGGCTATGGTTTATTCCAGCCGCGCCACGCACGTTTCTGAAGCGGCTCTCTGTGCTGCTTCTGTAAAGATACATGCATAAGCCTCCTTTGAATAAATATAGCCAAAATCCCACCAAAATCCATTGCCATGACTTATCGCGAGAGGCAAAAGGTTACGCTTTAGTCTCATAACATTGGTTAATGGAAACGCTGTCATTTCACAATACTTTTTTATCGACATTTAGAAAATATGGCCAAAGTTTTGTGCAAATCTGTAATGGAAAGTGCCTACAGATGCAAAGAAAAGCTGTGGAACATCCAGGTAACAACACATTATTAAGAATCAGTCTAGGTCAACTAGAACTGAATCTATTTGTCGATTTAATTTTTTTTATTCAGATATTATGTTGTCTTGTGTATTCTGTTGAAATGAATGCCATTTTGCAGATTTAGAAGCGCGTGTCGTGTATGTCTTTTTATAATTGTTTATGTGTCTTGTGTTCTAACCATGTTAACGTTTTTACTTTCTCTCCAGTCTGACTTGACATTTAGAAAATATGGCCAAAGTTTTGTGCAAATCTGTAATGGAAAGTGCCTACAGATGCAAAGAAAAGCTGTGGAACATCCAGGTAACAACACATTATTAAGAATCAGTCTAGGTCAACTAGAACTGAATCTATTAGTCGATTTAATTTTTTTATTCAGATATTATGTTGTCTTGTGTATTCTGTTGAAATGAATGCCATTTTGCAGATTTAGAAGCGCGTGTCGTGTATGTCTTTTTATAATTGTTTATGTGTCTTGTGTTCTAACCATGTTAACGTTTTTACTTTCTCTCCAGTCTGACTCTTTCCGGTACGCTTGCCTCTTTGTGTGGGAAATAAAAGTTGTACATATTTGTATCGTTACATGATTCATTCAGCCGAATGACCTTTGAACTGAGAAACTTCCTGGATCTCTCACGCATTCAGTTTGTTGTGCAGTATTCAAATGTGACTGGCTAAACAGTGCAACCATATCTTCTCTTTTTGTCCATAATACAAGTGAGAAATATAAAATAGTAGTGATCCTGAGCACCTTGATCCGCTCGTTCAGGTGAGTTTGATCAGACTTGGAGCTAAACTCGCATAACTACGTGAAAGGAGGCAGTGTCTCCAGTACAACATGTGACCCTGGAGCACAAAACCAGTCATACGGGTCAATTTTTCAAAATTGAGATGTATGCATCATCTGAAAGCTTGTTAGGATCGGACAATATTTGAAAATCTGCAATCTGAGGGTGCAAAAAAATCTAAATATTGAGAAAATCCTCTTTAAAGTTGTCCAAATGAAGTTCTCAGCCATGCATATTAGAAATCCAGTCGCCACTGCAGGCTGAAGTGTGGACTAGTCAGGACTAGTGTCAGAGTTACATAACTTACTGGAGCACAGCAGTGTTCTCTAACTCACCAAATTAGGAATAGTTGGAGCCAAACGAGCTGCTGGAGGAAGAGCTCCCTCTAGACACACACCTAAATACTGTTATTTCACTTTTCAACAGTTAAGATGCAAATAAAACATAGGCCAACTCAGCTAAACTGGCGAGTCCGTCCTCGTGCAGTTAAATGCACAGTTTTTCTGGAGAAGTGTTGAGCAGAAGTGCTTATTTCCAGCACACAGATGTCAGAGGAAGTGGTTACATTAACTGTCAACTTCAGCACCATATTTAGAGTTTGTAGAGACTGTTTTCTCGGTGAGAACAAAAGACTACTGTAGTCCAGCAGTACATTTAGTGCATATTTAGTATTTTTTCAAACTAGCTATAATACGAATAATAATAGGAAGAAGTAAAATAAGATTCATATATTAGGCTACAACCGAATATTTATCGCGACTACCACAATTTCCGCCAAAATGTCACATATTTCGTGTCACGGTGTTTGTTGTGACACTAAAACTGTGGTGATTTCTTATGCGTCAGCGACGACATCATTCAAAAGAGAATAATTGTGGACTTGTTTGCTTCTATATCCATTTATAAAGACTTTTCTTTGGTAGCAATACTTGTTGTCGTAAGTGTGGTAAGTTTTGGCGAGGAATGTCGCGTGCGTGTGGAGTTCTTACCGATGTTGATCCGGAGGATGAAGCGATGTAAACTTTAATCACCATAATGAGCGACTCCTCAGATGCGTTCCGCTCAAGACTCAAGAGCACTCCGCTGAGTCCCGATGAGGATCTGCGCTGTGCAGCCCGCCCCGCCCCGCCCCGCCCCGCCTCTGCTGCATCACGAGCAGCACTGATCGAACCGCAGCGGTTTTATTCATCGACAGTCGCGTTATTATCTCAGTATGGTTAAGACCGTTCACTCAGTGTTATGTGTGGATGGTGTAGTTTCATGTGCGTCCTGTAAAATCTGCAACTCTGTGACACTTGTGCATGAATTGTTTCCAGCGAATAATGTTGCAGTTTTAACCCTCATGTTCATGTGTAACACCGAGCGAGCGCGCGGCGCGACAAAGTATCAGTGGATGAACGCAGCTTGTCACACGCTCGCGCGCGGTTGGGGGCGCTGCTCTTTTGTCTTTTTTTTCGGTTTAATAATCTGGCTTGCGAAACAACCCCTCAAACCCGACTCGATTCCAGGGCGCCATCTTGAGTACAGAGCTCGCAGAAAGAAATCAGCCCGTCCCTAAACGGCACTGGAATTGCACAAAAATTAAACACACACACACACTCAAAGGCACAGATTGTTTTTCCTCGTTAAAACCACACTGATAAAGTCGCACACATAAGTTGTAGAGGAATACTCTCAAGTCGTCTCCTATGGTGCTGTCGACATTTATCATAAATACCTTCATGTCTGGCTCTCAGTTCTCAGCGCTGATTGGTCTATCTAGGCATCAGTCAAGCCGAAGCCACGCCCCTTAACCCCTTCAGTCGCTCGCTGTATCGTTGCTCCGTGTTTACTGCTGTGTTAGTGTAGCGAGCCGAGCACGTATATGCGGAGATCTCTTCGAAAGCAGCTGTTTTTCCTCTTGTGTTGCGCAGAGTCTCTCTAGGAATCCAACATGCCTAAAAGAAAGGTAACGTTACGCATTCTCTCTCTCAAACACACACACACTCCTGCATCAGGGAGGCGTTGTTCGGAGCTGAGTCGTGTTTATTCACTGCATTGCGAAATATAGATCCGCATACGTTTATATAATTTAATAAAATACGACTGATGTGATTTAACACTGAGATCCGCGCCGCGTAAGTCTGAGTTGTGTGCGACTGCGCGCTCAAGTTAGTTTGGCTGGGGTCCATTGCTAATGGAGTCCGCGGTGCTGTGCAGGAAGAAACTCTCAAAACCAGCCACAACCACCCACTTATGCGAAACATGACCTGTGCAATGTTAAAGACTCAACGGATTGAGAACAGACTGATATGGACAATAACATCGTGTTATTATGTTCTAGTCTTTGTTCTTGAGAGCAGATGGCTGTAATGGCGCTAGTGTACCGGCAGGTGGCGCAGCTAGGGGCTGGCTGAGCTGAGATAAACTCAGGTTTACTTCTACAGGCCACTGGGTTCCTTTACTGGTTTTAGATCTGATTTTATTTTTATTTTTTTATCCCAAATTTTACTGGTAGTCCACTGTATGAAGAATGTTTGGGTATAATATTTCACAGTTTGCTTTATTTTGACAGGGATGCCAAGGATGAGGTAAAATATTTTCATGTAAACTGTTAAAATTTCACTTGGTAACTTTGTTAGGTTAATTGTTCATTGAAATATTTCCCCTTTATTTATAGTTGTGTGTTTTTTTACTTATGTGTCCTCTTTTCAGCCTCAGAGGAGATCTGCACGGTTATCAGCAGTACGTATACTTTGCCATTTTCAGATTGTGTGTGTGTGTGTGAGAGAGCGAGAGTGTGTGTGTGTGTGTGTTGTGAGAGTGAGTGAGTGTGTGAGAGAGTGTGTGTGTGTGTGAGAGAGAGAGTGAGTGTGTGTGTGTGTGAGAGAGTGAGTGAGTGAGTGTATACAGAAAATACAGTAAATACTGAAATACAGTAAATACACTCAATACTGGAATTTTGTTATAAATTTTATTTATGATTCCCATTTTCAGTCTTTGTCTTATAATATCAGTTGAACAGTGTCTCAACATATATGAAGTGTGTTTTACTTCTCAGCTGTGTTTTTCCTTCATAGAGACCAGCTTATGTGAAGGCTGAACCCAAACCAAAAAAGACAACTAAGGTAAATACTACCAGATACTTAACAAACCAGCAATAAAACTTTAATATTAGAACAATGTTAGTTACTTAGTCAATATATCCCCGTTGGCAATGTGACTTTGCAGCATATTCACTGGCAAAATCACAATAGGCATATACTGTATATAAACATGCACCATGTACAATAAACAAATTGTTTCTGTGCTACAGCATTCAAAGTACTGTTATTGTGAGTTTACACACGTGCAAATATTCTGTCTAACGCATTGCTGCCAATGATTCACTTCCTCTGTAGAAAGACAAAGCAGCTAATGTCAAAAAGGAGGATAAAAAGACCAAGGTGAAGGCCAAGGAGAGCTCGGAGTCTGCAGCCAGCGAGGAGAACCACTCCGAAAATTGAGAGGCCAAGACCAACGCGGTGTGTTATAATCTCACTGCACTTTAGACTTTCCATAGAACATATTTTACTTTCATTTTGTGTTGACTGTGTGGAATAAAATCATTGAAATACTGTTACACTAGGATGTTCTTCATATCTTTTGAAATGAAAAATGCATTATTCTTGATGATTTCTTCCTCTCAACCTGTCCTCAGGTCACAAAGACTCAAAAAGCAACGAAGGAAGTGAAATCTGAGTAGCACTATTGCCTCCCATCAACAGTCATCACAGCTCCCCATCACTCCTAGTGTTGTGTCATTGCCCAACCTCCAAGGCATATTGTTCACAGAGAAATATTTTTATCAATGGTTTTATAAGTATCAGAGCCAGTGCAGGTCACAAAAGTGGTCTTCCTCTCATCTCCCTTGGTCAAATCGTCCTGTCGTCAGCCTGTGAGATTGGCGATACACGATATTATCGTGCTAATTTATTTAATTGTTTACTTACTTAGTTTCAGTGAACCAACTGCAGGGTATGGCTAAAAACAGCCTAATGTTAGTGTAATCTACACATTATATTTTATCAATCAAGTCACATATGGATGTCATGTCATAAAATATGTTTATGACTGAATTTGTATTTGACATGACAACAATTTAATAGAAACATTGTAAGTGTGTTACTAATTATGCTTACATTTCCTAATTTATTCAAAAAAGCAGCTACAGAAAATAAACAAAGAACATTTACATTACCAAGGAACATCATCACTGACTTGAATCTAGCGTAAGTTTATGCACTTTAAAAACACTCCCATTATAATCAGTGAAGCCTTCTACACTGTATGATGAATAAATCTCTTATACTTTTATATCACGCACATCTGCACTTTGTTGTTTATGATGAGAGAATTCACAAGAGAGCTGAATTCAGTCAGCGATTATGCGCACTGAACAACAAAACATTGATTGATCATTGATACACGATACTATCGTCTATCTGCACAACCCTAATGCCAGAGGTGGAAAATTTACTCATGTTGCTCAGAGACGCTACACTGTGCTGTGGCTGTGTTTGGAATATTTTTTTTTGTTCATATTCATGGTGTCCCAAAATAGCACAGTTGAGTACACTTAGATGATCTTAAGTTTATCTTAAGTTTTAGTATATTAAGTACAAAATTGATGAGCGAAAATAGAGCACTTTAAGTACATTATGGAAGTGCATTTGTTGTTCACCTGGGAGTACTTGATGGTTACCTTGTTAAAAGCTCTATAGTCAATGCAGGGCCTCAAACTTTTCTTGGCCACGAAGAAGAAATTTGAAGTGGCAAGGGATGCAAATGTATGTATGGTTCAACACCTCCTCCTGGAAGCAGGTCTCTCCCCACACTAGCACCACTGAGGAGGTCTCACAGAGCATTCTGAGGTGATATGGACACCAGCTCCACAGTAAAAAACTTTCATGCAATGAGTGATTCATGGCACAGTGATTTCATGCAATGAGATACCCAGATAGTTGGAAGAAATGCTCAATCCCCTTCATGTCATGTAGTCGGAGAGATGCAGACAGAGATGGTTCCAGTCCTGGCATTAAGTTGTGAGGAAGGCTAACGTTTTCCATTAGTGCAGTTCTTGACTGAAGGTGAATGAGGAACATGTGTGTAGGATCAGTAGTCCGGGAAGAATGAGCAGAGAAGAAGAGCCTGGTGTTTGCATGACAGTTATAATCTAATGGCTACTGGCAAACTTCAGAAGGAGGAAGTGAGATACGAGTTAGTTTATAGTTCATTTCTATGACCAGCTACAACTCGTTTATGTCAATTTCAATACCAATACTCATATGGAACATTGTGCGGCAAAGCCAAGCGGCAACCTCCCGCTCTCTCTCGTGAAACCAACACGGAAGTGACTAAAACTGTAATTCATCGACTGGCCGCTAGAGGCTGACTCCAAAAGAGAGTCAGTTTCATAGACTCCCCATGTTAAAACGCCCAACTTTACAGCAGAAAAAAAACATGTTTACAGCCCGGTACAAAAAGTGGTTTTGGTCTATATAGCTAATTTTGCCCTTCATGACAACTGTGAGGGGGGTGCATTTTTTTATAACTCATACGTTTAAATTATATTAAGCCTTAAAGTTCTGCATAATTAAGGGCGTGGCCGCTTGAGTGACAGGTGGATTGCCGCTGCTGTCACCACCGTCAAGCTAGGTGGGTGTGGCTTCAGCAACCAGCTCCCGCCTCTTTGCCCATTTTCAATTATCCGGGAGTGATGCGCAGTGACGCGCTGCCAAGATGGCGACTGCAGGCTCCGCCTACTTTAGGCTTCAAAAACGCTCTTCTGAAACCTACGGGTGATGTCACGGACACTACGTCCATGTTCTTAAACAGTCTATGGGCAAAGCCTCTTTCTTTAAATCCTCCATTGTTCTTAGTCGGGTCTCACTATTGTACTTACAGGACAAATTGACCCATTTTTAACCTTCTTTCATCCTTCAAAAGACCTTAAAGGTGGTTCCTAAATGATGGGTTCCTTCAGGTGGTAGCAAACACTAGATACTTTTTTTCTTTTACCTTCTGTTACATCAAAACAATCTGAAAGACAGGGCAGTTTCACAAAACACATTGTTGCAGCCCCTGCCTTTCATAACTGTACAGTATAACAGAAAAACTATTCTAGTGTTTGTTGTCATGTAGTCAAATGATCTAAGACTACAGTAAAGAGATGGAGTAAACTCGGCCTCTAGAAAAAGCTTTTGGAGCATTTTTATTAGAAGTTTTTACTAGAATTATTAGTATTTTTTAAAATGCTTCAGAGTGCCCCTGCCCTTTAGATAGTATACTTTGATATAAGGAGTAAGGGTGGGGAAAAAATTAAATTCAGTTACACTTTATTTTGATAGTCCACTTTAGACATTCTA